CTGACATTAATTAATTAGACAGAGGATTCAACAGCAGTAAATAAAAGAAAACACCAGCAAAACGAGAAATTCTAAACGGTCGTCATTTCAGATCTAACGAGAGCCTAGGCCCTGTTATGGTGAATAAAGTTTGACCAGATTCCTTTTCTTCTTGCAACATATCCCTTGCATGAATTCCTCTACAGTATGTACATCCATCAAAAGTCGATAACAGATAAGTCACTCTTGTGGCCCGGAATTCTAAAAAATCTTAAATCTTTCAAAAGAGTCATAGCCATCGTATTCCGTAATTCTAACTGATTTTGAGTGCTGCCACCTACAAATAAAGACAATATGTAATATCCATGAAGTACAGTAGCTTTCTAAACATAGATCATTAAAATTTTTCCTTCCAAACGTAAAAAAATTTGACCTGATACTGACAGTGTAATTCACGAAACTGTAAAAACTTCTACCCCGCCTCTGAAAGACATTTCCCCTGTTCATTAAAACAAAATTCATTCTTGTCAGTTTAATTTAAACTGTCACTCATCGAATGTAACGAATCAGCCATAATGCATAATCGTTAGAAGTTCTCTTATAAAACAGCAAAAAAAAAAGTAAACTCAGTTGAGGTAACTGTCAGTAACAGTTAAAGTACCCACAAGTTTTTAAGCTTAAATAAAACTGAATCACAACCCAAAAAAGCGATAGAATCACCTCAATTGATTACAGACCAAATTTTGTATTTAAACGTTTTGGTACTTTTGACGATTATATAATCGTCAAGAATTTTGGTACGTTTTATAAATCTAGTCATTATATGCTGCAACATGTTGCAACAGATATTACTATAATTCTAAAATAATTGCCTCAACAAAAAGATTCAAACCACTTTTGGTGAATAAAAATTGATCCCCGCTAAACAAAAAACTTTGACAACATTTGCCAGAGAGAGCAACAAAGTAAACTCACACATTGACTCCAAAAGCCACTTAGCAAGCGCTTCAGTAGCTAGTATGTGGACGTACAAGAAACGTATCTACCAGTGGCCGGAAACAATTGTACCGTGACCACGTCACATTCTCCTTACATAATACTTCCTGTCAAACTAGTTTCAGATGCTTGCCGAGTTCATGACATTTGTCAAACCAAAAAAATCAAGTTGTTTTTTTTAAATTTTTTCTTTTGCTTTAAATGCTCCAACTCGAATTATTCTTTAAGGTTCGTCACGAGCAACTTGAAGGATTGCAAATCCATTAAAAATTACACAGTAAATCCTTTTGTCTCTGCAATCAACAATCATTTGGTACCATCGTACACTGAGATATGTTCGTTGTTGCAGTTCCTAACCTAACTTAAGAAATTAAATATAAAAGAAAAGATTTCCGATTCGCCCTGATAACTTCAAATAAACGTGAAAGACAAAGTTTGATACTCACCAAGACCAAAAGATTTTGTGGTTCAGGTTCAGTGATTCTCTATATTGCTCATCGTCTTCTTTCTGCGTCGTGCGGCTATTTAGAGCAAAAAGTTTTCCTTGCCAAAAATAAATTGAGGTATTTGGATGTTTAAACATATTAAAATTCAACCAGAAAAGGCAATAAAGATTTTTCAAACAAAAAATTTTTATGTGATTTTTGTTTTTGTAAATATTTCAGATGATTTTGACGCTAAAATGTCCTAAGGCTTATTTCGACTGCTATTCACAGCAGATTACAAGTGAATACTCTTCTTATACTAGCAAGTAATCTCAAAAAATTTCTTTGTTCACTTTCCATTTAAGTTAAACCTGTGAAAGGCAAAGTATTTTGACCTGCAATTGAATGGTGTGATCAACTAACGCATCCATTTCAAGTTGCCTTATACAACTGCAGTACAGTTCACATGCCGTTGTACCAACCGCAAACATAGTATTACGAGAGAAAAACTTTAAATTCACAAGGCTAATTTTAAAAAGTGCTAAAAAATGAATGTAGGTGGAATATAAAAAGCCAACATAAATTTACAATTTACAGAAAAAAAAAAAA